TAAAAGATGATGGTGCTTTAAGTGTATCATACACACACATATGCAGGGGGATAGCCAGGATTTTAAGAAGAGGAGTAACCGTGGTGTAAATGGAATAAGCTTGAACTTTCAAAGAGATATGGGCTGCACTTCCTCTTGTTTGAAGTGTCATTGCTACACCAACATTTAACCTCCTATTGATAGGTATTCTTAGAGGTGTCATGGAAAACCTACCCATTATGACAAGCACATCTATAGGCGTCATGACTCATGAATCCAGAATTCATGCTGGTGACGACTATGCCTGTCATGGTTGTATACCTTTATAATAGACTGTTTTCAAAGTTGGGTGTGTAAATATATAAAAAATGGAAGAAAAGAAAAGGCAAATATGAGAAAAGAACAATGAAAAAGGGGAAAAAGAGGGAAGAAAGAGCAGTATATAGAGAAAAGATAATGAAGAACAACAAGAAGAGAAGGCAAAGAAGAATGCTCTGCCCTTTTTGACTTCACATATGCTTGTTTGGCTGATTCCCACACTCTTCTGTCACTTGACCTAATGTGGGAGACAGTGGCAAGAGCTGATTGGCTGGAAAACTATAAAAGGTCAAGCAGAGGGCAAACTAATCGCTCGCCATCCAGATTTTGCCAAGTGTATCTTGCCAATTCTCTACCGTGTGCTCTTGCAAGCCAAGGAATACCCCTGCTATCTGCTCCCTGAGTTTCGAAAAAAAAAAAAAAAAAAAAAAAAAAAAAAAAAAAAAAAAAAAAAAAAAAAAAAAAAAAAAAAAAAAAAAAAAAAAAAAAAAAAAAAAAAAAAAAAAAAAAAAAAAAAAAAAAAAAAAAAAAAAAAAAAAAAAAAAAAAAAAAAAAAAAAAAAAAAAAAAAAAAAAAAAAAAAAAAAAAAAAAAAAAAAAAAAAAAAAAAAAAAAAAAAAAAAAAAAAAAAAAAAAAAAAAAAAAAAAAAAAAAAAAAAAAAAAAAAAAAAAAAAAAAAAAAAAAAAAAAAAAAAAAAAAAAAAAAAAAAAAAAAAAAAAAAAAAAAAAAAAAAAAAAAAAAAAAAAAAAAAAAAAAAAAAAAAAAAAAAAAAAAAAAAAAAAAAAAAAAAAAAAAAAAAAAAAAAAAAAAAAAAAAAAAAAAAAAAAAAAAAAAAAAAAAAAAAAAAAAAAAAAAAAAAAAAAAAAAAAAAAAAAAAAAAAAAAAAAAAAAAAAAAAAAAAAAAAAAAAGATGTCTAGCAGTGTTCCTTGCCTGAGGAATGTTCCTGAGCCACTCCTGTATTTGTATCACGCATCCACTGACAAGGATGTCAGTGATGGCGATACAGATGACGATTACACACCCTCTTTGAAACTGTCGAGGACAAGTGATCACTCTGGTCATCAAACTGATGGAGAAGGCAGAGCTGCTTGACTTAGGGATACGAGTTGCACACAAACAACTGGTATTCCTCCCAGCTCTCTTCCACTCCCTGCAGGCCTGGAGGACCAGTGCTGTTGGTATAGTCAGTAGCAACAGGAAGGGGTATGCCTTCAGACCTGCAGGTGGGCTGTGGACATTTCCAGAGTACACCAATGAGAATGCTCTACCTTCAGTGGATGGACAAGTGTCTGGTGGTGATGCTTTTCACCACCCTCACCAGCAAGGTCGTTGCTCTGCCATCCAACTGTCAAGGGGTAGGGAGGTCAAAGCCTTGAAGTCATCATTTCCTATGACAACGGCATGAAGGGTGTTAAACTCTAGGATCAGATAGCACAGTCATATCCAGCAGCCAGAAACCAAGTTGATAATACACATGTCAGCGGTGACTCTGTTCCGGCATTGGAAGCTATCTTCTCTCTCTCTCTCTCTCTCTCTCTCTCTCTTTCTCTTTCTCTTTCTCTCTCTCTCTCTCTCTCTCTCTCTTATCTATGTATTGCAGTATTTCTGTCTTATCTATGTATTGCAGTGTTTTTGTTCTATCTTGAAGACTCACAACTAACTTTGCACACTGAGATGGTACAAACATACAAGTTTCAGAAGTGTAAAAGTGGAAGTTCTGTATTCTTTATATAGAACTCAACCAATAACTCAGCTGTGCACTGCATTTCTGCACGTCCAGCAAATACCCTACTTAGGAATTGACGAAGCGTGCATTCCCTCCACCCAAGCACCATATTTGAAACTCAAGCAGAGTAAAGTATGACTTGTTGAGTGAAAGGAGCCTAGTCACTGGGGAATGTTCATCTTGCAAATTAATTCAATTCACGGATCTTAAGGGGGGCAGGCACAACTACACTCTCGCACACACCCTCCCCTTTGAGTGAGAATGAGTGAGTGAGGGAGAGAAAAAAAATATACAAAAACAATAATTTCAAAGGGAGAGATAAGGAAGAGAAGAGAAAGTTCAGAAGCAATGCAAAATGCTGAGATATCAGGCTTGACCTAAATTTGTCGCAAGAAATAAAAAGCTCTCGCTGGTTAGTTATTTTAGTCTTAATGACAGTCAACCTTTTTTCTTGTTCTCTTTCTTCCTTTTTCCTTCCTCACTCTTACAAAAGGAAAAATTCCATTAAATGGAGATATTAATGTTTTAATTTCCAATAATGCTCTATGTATTTATTGTTTGAAAGATTATTTATTATGTACTTGGATTTTATAGATAGGTAGAAATCAGGACAGAAAAAAGTAATGGTAGGGCTAGCTTTGCACTATGAAGGAGATATAAAATATAGTAGAAGTAGTAATTGAGTAAAGATAGGAAGAAAGAAAACAGTAAGAAAAATCATTGCAAAATATTTTGCATATGCAGAGGGAACATTGCTACAGTTGCAAGAAGTATAAATATGTAAGGTGTCACATGACAGGATAAAAATAAACAAGGAAAGAATAGAAGAAGAAGAAAAAAAAAAGGCTTTATAAGAATACACAACACCGAAGTGGGAAGCTATTATATAAATGAAAAAGATAATAGATAAAAGAGAAAAACGAATGAATGAAAATCAGTTATAAATATCCCCGTCTTGCAGGAACTTCCGATGCTGATTCGGCGCAAGGAGAGCAAAGGCTACGGAACCAAGAAGCTGGTGGAAGGAAATTACGAAGAAGGCCAGAACTGCCTCATGATTGAGGATGTTATCGTGTCCGGTAGTTCAGTGTATGAGACCCTAGAGGTAAGTTCTTTCGCGTGTGTGTTTGTCTGTTTATTTTACTGGAATCTCTGAAATTAAAGGCTATGATCTTGGCATCAGAAAACAAGACTTTCATCACCACATCAAGCTTGTAAGTAAATGATATCCATAATCTTTAACACCATGAAACAACCAAGCAGAGAGGAATGAAAACAACCCAAGGATAGGTTGCAGAAAGGTGTGTCATTCGTAGATGCTCAGACAGATCACCACTCCCTCGACTTCTTTTCGCAGACCCTGAAGGAACTGAATTTGAAAGTGGACGATGCCATTGTTTTCCTCGACCGGGAGCAAGGAGGAGCAGCAAACTTGACTTCCATGGGGATCAATGTCATCTCCGTTGTTACCATGACCCAGGTAAGCGTTGACTTTAGGAGAGACGTCATTGTGAGACACATTCATAATTTTTCAGTTCGTATTGGTATACAGGTGTGACTTCCATAGCAGAGAAGGGTAGTCAGCATTAGGATGAAGATTAAGAATAATAATTTGTTTTTATAAACAAGAGAGATTGTTGGCGAATAAAAAACAAAGATGGTTTAAGTTGGATAGTCTGGTCTAGCAGTAATATTTTTTTATATTCCTTTTTGTTTGGTTTTCACTTTTTTTTATATATATGATTCATGTTTGGAAAAGGCCATTCTATATTCTTTATTTTTCCACAATGTGAAGATGATGGCAATCCTTCTGAAACATGGGTGCATCAACCAAGCGACTTCAGAATCAGTCTTGGAATTCGTTGAGTCACACAATGATACGTCGATCGTCACAAAGGAGAAATCATCTTGTAAAAACGGTATGTCATGTGAGAAAGAGAGAGGTTTAAGAGGAGTTATTATTGTTTTCTGATATTTTCATTTTAGAGTTTTTTTTTATGTGTTTTATAGATATTTTCTTAGGTTGTAGATTTAATTTACAAGTTTTCTTTTGTTTAATTTTCTAAGATTTTATTTGAAACTAAATTCACAGAAATAGTTACTTTTGGATGAGGAATTTGTACCAGCCTTAGCATAATTGTTTATTCTTGTTTTTATGCACTTTCCTTATGAATGAATGTTAATTTAATTTAAATCTTATTGATATTACAATTATGATTGTTATTATTGTTATAGATATTATCATAATTATCATTGTAAATATATATTTTCTCCTTCCTCTTCTTCTTGCTTGATAAATACTATTTCCACTCTTAAATGCACAGTGCTCACATATCTCTCGTTCTTCCCGCCAGGAATCGATGTCATGGACCGCAAGAAGAGATCCTTTGAGTCACGCACCAGCGTCACCAACCACCCCCTGGCTAGGAAGCTCTTCGAGATCATGTCGACCAAGAAGACTAACCTCTGTGTCGCTGCCGATGTCACCACCTCCGAGGAATTGATATCCCTGGCAGAGAAGGTCGGTTCAGAGTTTACGAGTGTGTTGTTGGTTGTGTGTGTGTTTTGTTTATATGTGGAATGGAGGGTTTGTAATGGCAAGGATTGGGTGCTAAGCATGTACAGTAAGTCCCCAACTTAAGAACATAATGGGGAACGAGAGGCTGTTTGTAAGTTGATTTGTTTGTATGTCGAAAGTCAGGTCTCCATTACCTTTTTTCCCATTGTTTTAAAGTTTTATTTACATTAAGAATACCTGTAAATAAATCCCCATAAGTACAACATACCTTATACAGTACCAGACTCTTGAACTATATTCGCGCCCGGGAAATTTGAAGTTTGCTAGCATCTTTCAAACAATTTTTTTGACTTTAGTACTTAAAAATTTTGTTTGTATGTATGGAATGTTCATAAGTAGAATGTTCTTAAGTAGGGGACTATCTGTATATGGGGAGAGGGTTTGAAAGTCACTTAATGATTTTTCAGAGGCAGTACCTCTGTTCCTTATTCTATTTGTCAGGAATGATGAGAGTTTGATGTATAGTTTGTAACCTGTAATATTTTATAAGGAAGTGAAATTGTGTTCAATGTTTGTCCTATTTTTTCAATAGCCAGGGAGGGCTTTAGGTATCTAAAAACTTTAATGATTCAAACATTTCATTATAGGTCGGTCCTCACATATGCCTGCTCAAGACCCACATCGACATCTTGACAGACTTCACCAAGGAAACGGTCGAAAGCTTAAAGGAACTCGCAGCAACGCACAACTTCATGCTTTTTGAAGACAGGTTTGTAAAGAGACTTGTATAGTTGCACAGTTTTTAGTAAATTTACCTGTAAATCTAAGGATTTTCTCCTACTTCTGCTTTTGCTTCTACTGATTCTTGATCATCATCATCATCTTTATCTTCTTCTTTTTCTTCTTCTGTTCTTAAGCTGATTCTTCTTTGTCCTCTATGCTCTTGTCAGGTGTGGCAAGAAGCAGGGTTGACATTCAAAAGTTTTCTGTTATTAAGTTTGTTAATGCATTGATGGCTCCACAACCATTTAGTCACCAAAGGAATCAATTATTAAGTCTACCTGAACTGCTTGATTTTTTTGTGTAAATTCTTTTTCATTTCTATTACTGTTGTTATCATAATCATTAGTATCATTATGATTTTCATATGGGTCAGCAACAATCATACAGTAATGAAAGTGAAAACCTTTCTTAACTAAAGTTCAAGGGATGGTGTAAATAGATGAAACCAGATAGGCCTAGTAATTAACCCTTTGGTGACTATGCACATTTGTGTGTAAACAGTTTTAATGAAAGTAGTGATAATTTCATTTATATTACTATTCCTACCAACCATTATTACATCAAACAGTTTTTATTATGTAATCTTGCAAAGCTAGGCATGAACCTTAATTTGTAATCAATATGGTAGCTGAAAAGAAATTTGGCCCCCAAAGGGTTTTGCATTTGACACCCCCATGCTAAGGTATATGAATTAAAGAATGCAGAAGTTTCTTAGCAGAAGTGTAATAAGCTTTGGATAAAGGCTTAGTAACTGTACATTTTATGAAGAATATTCAGATCTTTCTCCAATAAAATATCAGTGACAGGGTACTTAAATTGTGAGTAAGTAGAGACAGATTTTGATAGTTTGCTGTTATTTCTATCTGTGTGCATCTCTAGGAAGGTTTTTAGTGTCCCAGACTTTAATTCCGTGTCCTGGCTTCTTTTCTTGCAGGAAGTTTGGAGATATCGGCAGCACAGTAGCCAGTCAGTACTCGGGAGGCGCCTATAACATTGTTGATTGGGCTGAGCTTGTTACAGTACATGGCCTGCCTGGTGACGGCATTATCAAAGGTAAAAGGGCAAATTAATTAGTGCCACAGTTTTGTTGTTTTGATCATCAGCCATCATCAGTATAGTTATTACCACCTGATAGTTTTCTTTATTATTATCTATTTATTACTGTGATTATTTTCTTAATATAGTTGTTGTCATTATTATTGTTTTTACTATTAATATTTTTTTTATTAATGTCCACTTTGACAACATGATTCACTAGTATAGTAGTGGAAAGTTGAGTCATCTAGGTTTGATTAATATGTTCCTTTCATATATATTTTTACTATATGTTCATGTGAGGGTATAGAAGTGTGATTTAAACACCATTAGTTTTGTTTAGTTTGAAGTCTTAGATTACCTGAGATAGATATTATATTTGCTCATTCTTTATCACATCTGATTTATGTCGCTCCATTTTCTCATAGGGTTGATGTCGGCTATAAATGGTCGACCTCGGGGTTGTGTTCTTGTCTCTGAGATGAGTTCGTCAGGAGCTCTCACATCGCAGGAGTACGTCAGTGGTAAGTACCTCGTTGCCCTGTCACCCCCACCCACCCCCACCTACTTGCCCATATGAGGTTCACTCGGTTGATTACTTTGGATGATGTTGGACTCTATATTTCATATATGCTGCTGTCTGTGAGTTTCAGGGTTAACTGGAAGGTCCAAATTAAGAACCCATGTTTATAGGTCAACCTTCCCATGAAAGAGAGAGATTCATTTGGAATTTTTGTAATATCATTGTCTTTTATTTCAACTTAAGAGAGGTACATAAGGTCTTTTCCTCCTGATGCTTGTTAATGCCTGAGGGAGCTAAATCATTAACATTAACCAATGCCTTTGGGCTGGCTAAAACACCCATAGGCAGAAACTCTTGCTTTCAAACTATATAAGCAACAATAAAGTACTGGTTTGTGACTTTGATATAGACATGTATGATATAACAAAGCCTTACTCTTAACTAATTTATTTATTTTTAATTACTTATGTTTCTTACAAATTAGGCTGCTGCAAGATGGCCGAGAACCACACCTACTTCGTGATTGGCTTTGTGTCCCAGAGCAATGTAAGCAGCGACCCACGCTTCATCCTCCTCACGCCTGGGGTTCAGCTTGACAAGTCTGTGGATGGGCTTGGACAACAGGTGAGGGCTAAAATTGTTTTCATTAAATGTCTGGATTCTTTTCAGGCAGACTTTCCCTAGCTTTAGTCTGTGAAAAATGGTATTGCCTAGCCTTATAAGTTTTCCTGTAAAGACAAGGTCCTACAGGGGGAAAAAATGTGAGTAAAGGAGGGAGTTTTGTACTAGTCTGTAAATTTTCAGTAGCCTTTTTGATAGGGATTGATACATTTTGATTCATTGATTTACACTGAAACCTGTAAACAGAGATCATGTGAGTAGAAATCTTCACATTTGTTGAGAGAGAGAGAGAGAGAGAGAGAGAGAGAGTGTGTGTGTGTGTGTGTGTGTGTGTGTGTGTGTGTGTGTGTGTGTGTGTGTGTGTGTGTGTGTGTGTGTGTTATAATTAAAAAAAGAAAAAAAAAAAAATAGGGGGTAAGGGAGTAAACAAAATACCCAGGGCTTCCACAGCCTCCTTTCATCCCTTCCCAAATCCCTTGCAGTACGTGACTCCCCGCGCGGCCGTCCTGGAGCGAGGGGCCGACATCGTCATCGTGGGCCGAGGCATCCGAGAGGCAGAGGACCCGGAAGCAGCGGCAATAAAGTACAAAGAGGAGGCTTTTTCAGCATACTTGGAGCGCATCGAGGCCCAGTGAAGAGCTGTGGGGGGAATCTCACGCAGGAGTTTTTCCGAGGACATGCCCCCTGTGTTCTGGGCGGCCTGAAGTAATAGCAATAGCAGGGTCACAGATTTATTAATAGATGACAGGTGTTTTTTTGTTATAGAAAAAGAGAGAACTATTTATATATGAGCATTCTAGAGAGGATTTTTTGTTTTTTATAACATTGCTGTTATATTTTAGGGAATTTTCTTTTCCTTGACAAGAGAAAAAACAAATGAAGATCATACAATTGTATCATTTGCTGTATCATGAATTCTTTGTTATTATTTCACTATTCTGCTGTATCCATATATTTTGGAATATTTTAATGCAAATTATGGTGACTTGTTAATTTCATTTCATTTTTTTACGATTTTTTTTTTATGTTCAAGTTTGTAACATTCCATAGGTAATTATGTATATTGTATTTTAGTTTTGTTATGTTTTGTTTTGTTATGAGGTCCTACATTGTTGGCATTTATGCATTTTGAAACAGAAATATGGTGAAATAACATACCTTCAGATGAAGTTAATAATTTGTAAAAATATAATAAATAAACTAATTTCTCAGAATTACAATTAATGTAGTGCATTGTAACTCACTCCCTTTGACCCAATAACTGTCCTGGTTCTCTTTTTCTCTCCTTTTTTCCTCATTATTCCTTTCCTTTTTTTCTTTTTCCTTTCCCATGCTTCCTCCTCCTCGTTGTCAATAAATTTAAGCTTGTAATGATTCCAATCAGAGGTGCACAAAATTGTATGCTGTTGGAACAGGTGTTTTTTTTTCTGAAATATTTGACTTTCTCCAAGTTATTTCTGTTTGCGTGTTGTGTCCTTGTATTCTTCTTTCTTTGAGAAATCACTTCTCCTTTGCTGTAGGACTTGACCTGTATTCAGTTATAAAAGAGTGGAACTGAGACTTTCTTGATGCAGACCAATAATAATATTGGCCATGACCCTCTAGTGTTCTGTGTTTCCAGAATACAGATATGCAAAGCTATGTCCTGCTTTCTCAAATCAGTTTCATTCGTTGATTTATGATAGTGATTGAAGTCAGTTGACATTGTTTGAAAATGTGTTTGTGTGTTAGGTGCTGTATTGATTGTACCTTGTATACACATGGAAAATACATGGAAAAATGTTGGTATTAGGAACACACAGGGACCAGGAATAGGAAATGTTTTGTCATATATTATCATGGCAATAAGGAGTAATTGTAGCCAACTGAGCAAGAGGGGTGTCTTCACATGGTTGATGTCATTCAGAATTGGAAAAATGAACAAACAAAAGACAGAAGAATTAGTGACTGCAAGCAATTGATAATTTTACTGTAGGTAGAAGGGGAATAGGAGAGTGGTTGTGGATTAACACGGGTAAGTATCTTAGACAATTCAAAGTGAATGACAAGATTTTGGGGCTAGTCTGGAAGTTTGTTGCTTACCAAGCCAAGTGTTAGTGAGAAAATGCCAAGCAGAGAGTAGCTTCTGATGGTCATTGTTTAAGGAAATAACTAAACAGAACATATCACAAAAGTTGTAGTTAGTATTCTTAAAGAAGTAGTAGTTTTGCTATGTTCACTCCCTCCCTGAAAGAAATGCAATTGTTGCTGAAAAGACTTCAGGGAAAGTAGTAGTTCAGTATCAGTTTATATGGGAGAGAGTGCCAAAAATCATTGCAGAATAGTCATATCTACAGAAAAGGCACAGCTTAGTGTATACTTTTTTTCTTTTTTTTTGTAAATGAAAAGATTAGGAAAAAGTTAGCTTATAGGTCATGCTTGAAGATAAAAATCCGACCTGTTTTAGAAACCATTCTCGCTAAGGGAGACCGGAAAGAAATGTAGTGGTTAGATTTTAAAGGCCTTGGGATTATATAGTTCCTACAGAATCATACTAGAAAAATAAACTTGTTTTGGTCTTGCTACATCGAATTACATGCTTACAAATGTGAAATTAGTATGTGTAATTCTTGACTAAAGTTAGGCTACAATTAACAGATTTTAGTGGGGTAGACTCCAATAGGTTCTCAAGTTCTTATCATAAACATGGCACAAGCAAATCTCTAATGGCAGTAGTGTCTGGTGTGCATGTAGAACTGAGAATGAATTACAGTGTATATATTCTTCCCATACTAAATTCTGAGGCCTATTCTGGCACGTTAAAAAATGTTTAAAATGTTAGTAAAAAAAACTGTAAATATGCATTAGTTATGTTACTTGTCAGCCAAATCATAAGCCTGATATTCTGTAAAAATAATTGCTAGAATTTTATAATAATGCAAATGAGAGAGGGTAAAGTTGACTTGCAGATGATATTCTTCTAAATGGTAATGTTTTTCCTCTGCACACTTGTGTTCAAAAGTTCTAATTGTAAGATTAAGATCTATGGTCAAATGAAGTTATGTTTTCTCTATTAAGAGTACATATTTGTTTTTCTGACTTATGCATAACAAAAGTATGAAGAAAACCGACAGTGGCATGAGAGAAAGATGTAAGAAAAAGGATAAGGTTTGTCAGGTCCAGAGGTGAATCTGGGATGCTTCAAAGGTGCGATGGAAGAGGCTGCTGAAGTGTAACTAAGCACCAACACTGCAAGTCCAACAGGGATAATGCTAGTGCAGGTAAACATTGTCAGTTCACATGTTGGGAAGGTACATAGCAGTCATTTGGAAATGGCACCAGAAGCAGGAAAATCGTAGGCAAAGTGCCTCTGCCCAGTTTCCTGTGTGGACACAAAACATGTGGACCCTATAGTGGCTAAAGCCCGTCACTTGTGCTTGATCTGGTAACACTATTTAGCAAGGGAGGGCTATTCATTCAGCTGCCAGGGCCCACATGGATTCTTCCCTTCATCTGGACACAGCTAAAAGGTAGGAGTGGATATTTTTAGAATTTAAATGTATTCTCCAAGCAGTCATTATCATATTAAATTACCCAGTGGCACTTTAATATGATAATGCTTTGAGTACTACTGTAAACAAGACATCAGAATTAAGTAAGCCAAGAAAAGAAAAAACAGAACACATACATATACACAGGAAGATTTACAGAAAATTATCAGCACACAATTTCACCTGGCATTTTGTACCCAAGTTTAGCACAATCATATCAACGTTGTTACCCAAATTAAATTTGAATTTAAGTATATCATGTAGCACTCGGTTGCAGGGGGTGTCATTGTTCACTCCCAAGAAGCCCCTTCCCCACAGGAGGTTTGAGAGATTGAAGAACCTATTATTGAAAGTCTGCTGTGCTAGCTTTAAGTCATTAGTGGCAAGAGATAGCAATAGAAATGGTCCATATTAAGATTTATTATACATAGAAAGTAAGTCACCAATTGTTTGGATTTTTCAGTGAGTTTAGAAATGTATGGTTGTGCCTTTAGAGATGTCTATGAGTGGATGAATTATGAGCAAATTTGTATATCAGAATCTTTGTATATATAGGTAATTGCTTTAAGATCAGTTAATTTTAGGAAATATGATTGTCATGGTTTTTAACACTTAATAGATTATGACTAAAAATAATCTTATTTTGGCATTTTAAAACCTCATTTTATTAGCAATGAGCAGTTTTCTTTCCCAAAAAGTGACATTTGACTTTTAAAAACAGGCCTTTGTATTATTATTTTCTTGCATGTAATATACTTGAAATGAACAGTCCAGTTAAACTATGCAATCCTTCATACTAGACAGTAGACAATCTTTCAGTATTTTTAAGTAAATAAATTACAATATTAGTATTGATACTAAGCAGCAGTGAAATTTGTGTGAAATTCACAAATGAAGACAAGGTCACTAAATCTAATAATAATAATATAGAAAGTACTGAAATAGTTTTGAGCTTTGACATCTTTAAGTCATAGTCTCTGTAAACTAGTTGAGTATTAACCCAATGACAGATGAACTTTGTACTGTCCCTTGTAGTTTGTTGAATTTGGTTACGGACAGATGGCTCCACTTGTTCTCAGCCACCAAGGAGTTTACTTTTATTTATTCATTGATTTTTTTTTTGCCGCATCAACATCTAAGGTCATCATTGGAGTATTCAAAATATAGCAAAAGGGTGGGGAACAGGGAGGCAAAGCACCTGGGTAAGAAAGACTTTTGGCTCATAAGACGATGTTCCTGCACTTCCGGAATGGTTAACAAGTAATTTGCTAGACACAAACTAAGCCCAACCACGACAATGAGCTAGGGATTGGGGGCCCATGGAGTCTTATCAGTAGGCCCTAGTGACCATGCTTGATTTCCCCGTTCCTTGTATTTGTAGAAAGAGGTAAGCAGGTGAGATAGGCAGGACTAACAACTGACTCCTTGGTGACTAAGCAATTGTAGAGCCATCTATGTGTAAAGACAATAGATGAACTTAAAGTACAGTGGGCATGGCATGTATTCTTGCCATTTGCACCGAATGGGTTAATTAATTTGTACGAGATGTTGAAGTAAAAGCAGGACACTATATATAGATATTTAAAAAGGAATATATGTCAAATACAACAGAATTTTTTTTTTTTATGTTATACCATTGGGAAAATTCAGTGATGCCATATTCAACTCTCATGCTGGCTACTGCCAGTCAAAACTGCCCACTGCCAGTCAGAACTGCCCAACTTTCTACTTAGCAGTATGGACATCATTTACAGGTAATGGCCACCAGACTTTGCCCCTCTGAGGGCAGTACCTGATAGTGAAGACATGGCTTATTAAGGCCCTGTCCACACAAGGGGTAGTTCTTCCATGCATAAAGTTACCATATCACAATCTAAGGTGGGTAAAGGTGATGCTGTCAGGCAGGAAACCATTAAAAAAAATCTATATATACCTGCTCTCCCATGGGCAAAACAGGTGCCAAATTCATCACCCAGAAACTACTCAGTATGGCAACAGCAAAATCAACTCCCTACATCATCTTAAGTACTTGTGCCCCCATGGGTACTGTCCCTTATGAAGACAGTCTAAAAGCCTAGCCACAAGCAGGCACAGCAGCAGGCATCTGTATAGGCGAGTCACAGACGAGAAAACAGCAGGGAAATGCATGTTCAGCAAGTCTTTTTGCCTGCCTGTGAACTCAAGTGCTCAGGTCAACCCTTTGCCAGTCTATCATACCTGCTCATGTGAACAGACCTTTAGATGTAATAAGACTGGGCAGATTCTGAATTTGCTAACTCAACATAGATCTAATATTCATTCATTAAAAAATTAAGGAACCAAATTTACGGCTATGTTCTACAGAATAGTTTGACACCTGCAATCACAAGGTGGTGATTGCAGAATACTACTCAGATATAATTTCATATCAACTTCAATGTTGCATTCCATATTGGATGATGATTTTTTTTCCACTTGTAAATACTTCCTGTAGCAAATGTTCTACTTTGAAATGGCAACTTTGTAATTTCAGTTAATAAAGCCCTTTTTCAATATTGGAATCTTTCAGTGTCTACCTTTTGCTTGGTATATTTTCAGACTTTGGCTTAACAATATTGCAGTGTAGTAGTAGTTCTCCTTTGAATGATGACAAGAAATAGCTCTAAAAAGAAAGTATTTTTAATTATAATGAAAACAAAGTATGGAGGTTAATAGCAATTTCCTCTTTATCACCATTTTTCACAAAAACAAATAAAACAGAGGCAAGACTTTCCACTAATGTAATGAAAATTTCAACCACAATCATAGAACACGAGACCTTATTTATAGCAATGAAACCACAAAAAAATGGTTTCCTAGAATCAATATACGACTTGAGAAAACTTTTCCACATTTACACAAGTAGTATTTATAAAAGGGAAAACTGCTGTCTAATGTCTTCCCATTTACTTTCAAGGAATGGACTTGTAAATGATCACAAAAAGCGATTAATCAACACCACCAATTCTTTTAAATGGACAAAATGTAAACCAGAACTTTCATATAACATTTATTATAGAAAAATTCCACATAATCCTTAAGCCTATATAAATCTTATATAAACGAACCACTTAAACTCTGGAATGATCAACACATCCGATCATTCGATAACTTCCAGGTGACCCTCTCAGTGAGGCAAACGTCGACACGCGCCTGTCCTCCTGTAATAATTTATCAAACTTCCTCATCCACAAGAGAATTCAGTCGAGTCAGAAGCTCCTGGTCGATGGAGCAATTTTTACAACAAAAAAAAAATCTCATTCAGCCATTCACACCACTTGCCGACAGCTTCACAACGTCACTCGCAAGGAATCGGGGAAAAGGTCCGTCCGTATCCGTGGGGTTTTTTAAGAGCGCGTGTACTTGCCCCAGATGTGGAGCATGAAGACAGTGGCGATGAAGACCAGAGAACCAACAAGCACAGGCAGGGGGCCACTGTGGAAAGGAGAGAAGAACAGAAAAAAATGAATAAATTGAGGATTATTTTTAGAGCCTTATAGTAAGCTATCAATAAGGATTTTTAATATTACTCTCTGAATCAAAATCTGGAGAACCTAGCAAGCCAAAAAAGGAAAAAAGCTTACAAAACAAGGTACAAAGTGAATGCAGAGATGTACCAGACCACAGCTTTGATCACACCCTTCTCAGAATCCCAAAAGTCAAAAGTAGGAGCCAAATACCCAGCGGATGACCCACTCCCCCCTCTTAATTCCATCAACCGCCCACCCAACACCCCAGAGAAACCCCTACGAAGCCCTCGAACACTCACACTTTGATTCCTGGGGAGTCGTCGGTGTAGAACCTCCACATGCCTCCCGTTGAGGCTGAGCTGCGGCCGGAGGTGGAGGTGGTCGTCTTGCGCTGTCTGGCCGTGGTTCCGCCCGACTGCCTGGCCATGGAGCCCGACCCTCCACTGCGCGGGGACACCGTGCGGGCTGGGGAGCGGCCGCCAGACCCCACGATGGTCGAACTTGGCGAGGAAGGCTGGGGGGGGGAGAGGAAAGGAGGGTGGGTTAGCATCTCAAAATGGGCAGAGACCTTAGGAATCTTATTACAGTGAAAAATAAGTTTGATATAATATTCTCTACATAATTAAGAGAAAGTTTAGGAAATGAGAAAGATGTGCCAGCTTTCCTGACAAGCACCTTCCATTATGCCAAAAGTAAAAGTAATAGTGACAAGAAACAGCTTCAAAAATGGGCTCCAGCTGTCATCTACTTCTGATGTGTCAAGGAACTTGTTTTTTTTCATTTTTCCTTTCTTTACTGCTTGCTTGGGAAAGAAAAAAGCAACAAAAGGAAACTGTTCTCGACTTTTCAATAATTATAACCATTTACTTAGATCTACATATCCTATGTTTCCTCATCAATAACCACACAGAACGAAACGAGGAAAGACCGCGCTTCAAGGCCTTCATAAATAACGAAAATCGCGACATTAAAATATACCGGAAAGAGTCCACGTAGGCCTTTTAATTAATCATTTAATCAAGTCCTACATAAACCGACCCGAAATCCTACCAAATCCTGACAATAGATGCAAATAACCCGTTCCATCTGCTCAGATAAAGAACCCGAGCCTCAAAAAACACCAAAAATCCCCAATAAACAAACCGACGGGTCCCATATGCCGCTCCGTCAAAAATAAAACGAGAAAATATCTGGAATTCCCAACAGAATATCCCCATTTCGGCCTTTTTCTCTCCATCTTTACCCCATTCTCCACAAACCCCGATGCATAGGAATTCCCCAAAAGCCGTAAAATCGGCAAAAATCCGTCAAACTTACCATGTTTCTGTGATGGAGCTTCGGCGAGGAGTGAGCACAGAAGCGACGCGTTCGGTCTCGACGTCAAGGCGCTTCTGACACCAACACACACGTCACCTGTGTGTCACGACCGGCGGGATGGTTCCTTTTTCGAGAATTCGGGGATCGTGGATTTTTTTTTTTCTTTTTATTTTGGTGTGGTGGATTTGGGGAATTGGATGTCGTGTTGTATTTTTTAAATGTTTTTTTTATGGTTTTGATCTTTTTGTGTGGTGTGTTGTTTGAAGAATGTTGATGTGTTTAAGATCCTATTTTTTTCTCCTTGTTTCACGTCATTAGGCTGATATACTCCCTAATTATACATATACCATTTAATAAAAGGAATATAATGGTTTTTCAGTAGCAATCAAATTTGTATATCTGAACATATATCCTCTCCAAATATTTATACACTCGTGATTGTATAATACACTTATATATTTACAATCCTACGGAAAAAACAATCGATAATGTAATACACTATCCAGTATAGAGTTCAAGATAAATAACATGGAATATTTCTTTTCATACGAAAAGACAACATAATATACATTGCAAAATCTTATGATAATGCACTCAAATACCTTTCTCCCTTAACTGACCAAAAACATTAATCCCAAAACTAGAAACGGAAAGAAAACAAACAAAACACACGTATGAATATATTCCCTAAACACCCTCTCTTGAAAAAACAAAAAAGAAAAGATAGGAAAAAAAATGAAATAAAATTTTATGAAACGAAAAATGATTTATCCATTCTTGTAAATCGACATAAAAAAGCTATCCATATACACATACAAAATCTCCCTAAAAAATCCCCTTTATCCCTAAAACAAACAACAACAAAACAAAACCCCCAACACAAAAACAAAAACAAAAAAAAAACTTTAGCCCAGCGCCCCCCTCGCGACGACTCCCCCTAGGCGCATGGCTGACGTCCCGCAACACGTCCGGAAATTCCTGTTCAGGTCGTGTGAGAGCAGGAACTCGGCCTCGTCTGAATGTCTTGAGGTGCTGATTCCCGAGGTGAGGAGATGAGGGAGAGGTGTGGGCGTGGGGCTGGGGGGGCGAAGGAGGTTGGAGGAGCTAGGAATGAGGGAGGGAATAAGGCATGGACGAGGGGGGGGGGGGGGTGTTAGGTCGTAGAAATTTCGTCATGATTTTTTGGGTGCTATTAAATGTCTTTGATTTTTAGGGTTGTTGTTGTTTGTGTTGTCTTTTGGATATATTTGGTTGTTTTCTTTTAATTGGATAGTTTACGTATTTGGTTTAGAAGGCATATCAGGTAGACGTTCTATTTAAATGTGGTAGTGTTTATATCACTAGTTATTTAGAGGAACTTGACCGGCAGTAAACATGAAAGTAAACATTAATAAACAGATTAAATTTTTTAAAAATTATAAAAAGAACTAAAAAAAAAATGAAATAATAGATGGGATGAAGATTACTTAAATATGTAAATTGATAATTAAAACCTCACTAACATCACTGCATAAAGGAAAGTAAAACCTCTCATGTGATTTCTTAAACTGTTTTAGTGTCTGTGGAATGTTATTTATATACAGCTCATGAATAATATTGTACATAAACCCAGCATTCTTAAAGGCAGTATTTTCCCTTCTGATAAATATTGACAATTCATATACGGCCAAAATCCTCTGCAGCTCTCTTCACTCTAGCAAAGACAAGCACAGGGCCATCTTGTGTGTTCTGGTGCAATAGAGCTTGTAGACCTCCTTGCCCGTATATCAGTATAGAACCAGTCAAGTTTTATATTGCTGGAATATGTGTGTTTGTGATTATTGGTATTTTGGTGTAGCATGTAACGCTAAGGGTGCATCAATAGTCCCATTGCAACACTGTTGGCTTAAGGTAACTATTGTAAGCTTTCCATCAGATGTTACTGTAATTTCTGAGTGTTTTGGATAGAACATGGGTATTGTAATTGCTAGAGAGAAGAGAGGGAGGTCGTATTTGGAAGCCACTATGGGTATCAGCTTTACAGTTAATCCTATTGTAAAGAAATTACATAAGTATTTAAGATGGAGCAGCACAAAGATAGGGAAAAAAATTAATGAGTCGAGAAAAGCAAATGAAACAACACTAATAGATAAGTAATAATAATAATAATCTTCAAAGTTTAGGTAATTCAACTCTTGTCTATAAAAGCAAATGGCTTTATACACCATGAAATACTTCTTAACTTCACACACTAGTAATGGTCAGCACTTTTGAGATAATCTGATAGGATCCCACAGCAATTTATCAAATTAAAGGAACAATCGTGTAAGATCTTTGTCAGAAGAATTTACATGGTAGATATTTTTGATCTTTTCCCAGATGACAAAGTGCAGAGCCTACGGCACTGTTTGTTGCAGCCCCATTCTTAGTGGTTTTGCAGCATAGGTAATGCTAATGTGGGAAATTTCTTAAATGCTGCATGGGCTTTCAAAACAGGACCTCTTGAGACCTATTGTGATCTGTGATAGACCTACAATTTGAAGGCCATTATAGTAGTGATGTAATTACAAGGAACTGCTTATTATAGACTTCCAGGTGACTTATATATCAAATGCCTTTTCTGAAGTGCTAAAAGTTTATAGGCTCTGGTATTTGTTTTAAAAGTATTAGGTAAAGATCATGCAAACCTTGGTAGAATATAGAAATATAATGTGAACTCTGAAATTGTGGGGGTGGGTTAAAGTGAAAATGGGTATTGCATGTTGACAGGTGTTGCTGGCTCATTTGTACCAGTGAGCGGAGGTGTTTGCATTACCCTAGGAACAGACAAACAGAGGAAGCAAGTATTATTAGCAGAAAATGGTTTAAACTTAAATATTTAAAGAAATTTCTGTCCACTAGTGCTGACAAAGGGTTATGAGTTTCTTTATGTTGAATATTAGGGTACCACATACTTTACCAATGTGGTAAATGTTACTTTCAAAATGTTTTTATCTTTTTCTTTCTTTCTTTCTTTCTTGTAATAACTATTGGCTATGGTTTATCCAAGCGTGATATGTGCTAACACTCCTATTGAGATGGAGAACCAATTAAAACAATAGAATTGCATTGCTAACCCATTCGCGCTGGGTAAAAATGGGGGGGAGGGGGGAGAAGGAAAAAAAAGGCTCTTTTTTTTTTTTTTTTTTTTTTTTTTTTTTTTTTTTTTTTTTTTTTTTTTTTTTTTTTAAGAAATGTCTCTACACTAGATGGCTCTGCCTTACCTGATTTCACCTTTACTTGAATTGGTGGGAAAATGTATTTTTACTAGTGCTATGAATATTGATGGTTTTTATTATAAACATTATAATTACTATAATGTTATAAACATTAGTAACAGCAAAATAAGATAACGTAAGATATTGTCATAAATTAAAGAAAAGGGTAAACAGGAGAGACAGGCAGTACAAGTACAAGTGTAGCCATCTATGTTTGAAAACAATTAAACAAGTAAACTCACAGTGGGTACATCATGTATATGTGACACCCGGCGCGAATGGGTTAAGTAATTGCGAGTCTTTGCATTTGTTGACATTACTGCAAACTTTCATTACGTCTATTCTGGTAAGATAGAAAATAGACTTGTTGGATTGTAAATTAGGAATGTCTGAAAGATCTTATCTGACCATCTACATTGACATAAATGCTTTTTGAATTGAAGAGACTCCTACAATTTTTGTTACTTAGACAATACAATTTTTTTTTTTTTTTTTTTTTTTTGTATAATTATTATTAGTAGTAGGAGTAGTACTAGTAGCACTATTACTAGTACTACAACTACTAGTACTACAACTATACTACTACAACTTCTACTACGACTTCTACTACAACTTCTACTACAACTACTACTACAACTACTACTGCTACTACTGCTACTTTTGCTACTTCTTCTTCTTCTTCTTCTTCTTCTTCTTCTTCTTCTTCTTCTTCTTCTTCTTCTTCTTCTTCTTCTTCTTCTTACTATTTACTACTACTTACTATTTACTATTTATTACTACAACTACTACTACTACTTCTACTTACTATTTACTACTTCTACCAACTACTACTACTTACTATTTACTACTACCACTTACTACTACTTCTACTACTACTACTTCTGCTACCACTACTTCTACTCACTATTTACTACTTCTACCTACTGCTACTACTACTACTACTTCTTCTTCTACTACTACCACTACTACTTCTACTTCTACTAGTACTACTACTACTACTACTACTTCTACTGCTACTACTACTTCTTCTTCTTCTTCTTCTTCTTCTTCTTCTACTACTACTACTACTACTACTACTACTACTACTACTACTACTACTTCTACTTCTACTACTACCACTACTACCACTACTACCACTACTACTTCTACTACTTCTACTACTACTACTACTACTACTACTACTACTTCTACTTCTACTACTACCACTACTACCACTACTACTTCTACTACTTCTACTACTACTACTACTACTACTACTACTACTTCTACTTCTACTACTTCTACTACTTCTACTACTACTACTACTACTACTACTACTACTACTTCTACTTCTACTACTACCACTACTACCACTACTACTTCTACTACTTCTACTACTACTACTACTACTACTACTACTACTACTACCTACTACTACTACTACTACTACTACTACTTCTACTACTACTACACTACTACCACTACTACCACTACTACTTCTACTACTACTACTACTACTACTACTACCACTACTACCACTACTACTTCTACTACTACTACTACTACTACTACTACTACTACTACTACTACTACTACCACTACTACCACTACTACCACTACTACCACTACTACCACTACTACTTCTACTACTACTACTACTACTACTACTACTACTACTTACTACTACTACTTACTACTACTACTTACTACTACTACTTACTACTACTACTTACTACTTCTATTTACTACTTCTATTTACTACTACTACTTACTTCTTCTTCTTCTTCTTCTTCTTCTTCTTCTTACTATTTACTACTACTTACTATTTACTATTTATTACTACAACTACTACTACTACTTCTACTACTTCTGCTACCACTACTTCTACTCACTATTTACTACTTCTACCTACTGCAACCTACTACTACCTACTACTACTTGCTATTTACTACTTCTACTTACTGCTACCTACTACTATTTACTATTTTCTACTACTACTTATTACTACTCACTATTGCCAACTATTATTATTACTACCACTACTAACCAATCCTTGCTGTCTAACCCATAATCTTGTGGAGTCTAAAAGAATATAGTTTCAGAAATATGTCATCCAAATCCTAATAAAGATTGCTAAAGTTATATACTCTAAATTGAGTGTTGTAAAGTTATGGAAAGAGTTTTTTGTTGTAGTGGAAAGAGACCGCAACTAATTTGGTTTATTTTAGATGGTAAATTTGTACTGCTGTTATTTAACATTTCCAGTAGGTTTAATAGAGGAAAATGTTATCATGTATATAATTTTTCTGAATATTGTTGATGTCACTTGAGAGATTTGAAGATGAGGGGATTGGTTCCCTTGCCTAGGAAAGTACTGCCCACTTTTGTAGGTGATTTATATCTTCACTCTGAAGCTTTTACTTTTGCTGGCTAATGTGAAATTTGAATAATCTCTCATCAAAATGAATTAGCATATTCAGTATATTGAATTTTAGTTAACTGGAATTCAGTTGGCAGTCAGTCTTGTCATGTTGCATTGAAATATTATTGTCATTCATCTTCTCTGTTAAAGAAGGACAAAGTATATAGTAATCTGGTCTTAGAAAGTTTGCCCTTAATTTTTGAGTGCAGTTAACCTTCTGTCTAATATACTAATGGGGGGGGGAGGCAGTATGTTAGTGTGAATTGATGTGGTAACCGAGCATGTCTGATTTTTCAATGTTCTATAATTTAAGTGGTGATGCCAGAGGCAAAATCCTAGCTGTTGAATTGTTTGGCAGTTCTTCTTTTATATTTGTTTTTGTTTTTTTGTAATGTTCCTTTTGTTTGTCCTTAGTTTTACTTACAAATAGTCCCAGACAAAAGTTTGGTTTGCAGTATGATAAGCTACAGTAACTTCTGTTTTGTTTTTTTTATCTAACCACATATCCCCTTCCAGGTAGTAAGTCCCAGCTATGGCATGTACACGTGGCCATGTGCCCCAGTGTTGGCACAGTATGTTTGGTACCACCGTCACGACTTCCCAAAACGCAATGTCCTTGAGCTTGGCGCAGGAACGGCACTCCCGGGCATTGTAGCAGCCAAATGTGGAGCCAATGTCATTCTGTCAGACTCAGGGCAGCTACCCAAGTGTCTGCAGAACTGCGAGGTGTCATGTCAGGCCAATGGCATGGTTGGGTCAGTCGCAGTGGTAGGGATAACCTGGGGCCTTTTCACCCCCGAGCTCTTGGATCTCGGGCCCATAGACATCATCTTGGGCTCCGACTGCTTTTATGACCCAGCTGTGTTTGAGGACATCCTGGTGACAGTGTCATTTTTGTTGGAGCACAACCCCCATGCCCGGTTTGTGTGCTCTTACCAGGAGAGAGCGTCAGACTGGTCGCTAGAACACCTCCTGCATAAATGGAACCTGTCATGTACCCAGCTGCCCCTAGCGACCTTTGATGCAGACATACCCAATATAGCCGACTCCAACTTACCTGGTTCTCACACAGTTCATGTGTTTCAGATCACCAGAACCACTCGAAGTTGAAGCGAGTCGGCACTCCTCTCACCGAGGGACATCGTCTGAGGCATCCCACTTGCGCTCCAAGCCTCTCGCGGCCAGAAGCCTAATGGCATCCCGCAACCTCTATAAAGTCTTCATTGGAAACCTTCCCTGGACGGTGGGTCACAGGGAGCTTCGGCAGCACTTCTCGCAGTTTGGCTTCGTCACTAGCGCCAATGTGGTGTTTGACAAGTCCAGTGGTTTGAGCAGGGGCTTCGGATTTGTGCAATTTGGCAACAGAAATGGATACGACTCGGCAACCAGCAAGCCAACACATTTCATTGAGGGAAGCATAGTTAATGTACAGCCGACATCAAAGTAATCTTCATGTTTGAAAGACTAGTGTTACAGATATTGGTTTAGATATTTTTTGTATTTATTAGAAAGCTGAACACAAAATATGGATGACTTAGAAGAGTATACAGGACCACCAGAGGGTGAGTTAGAAAGCTCCTTTTTAAAAGCTGCAAATCTATTGCAAAGCCATGCTGGATCCTTGGATACAGAAAAACTTCTGTATTTCTATGCCCGTTATAAGCAGGCCACTGAAGGAACATGCAATATTCCCAAGCCGGGGTTCTTTGATTTCAAGGGCAAGCAGAAGTGGGAGGCCTGGAAGAGCATGGGAGACATGACGAAGGACGAAGCCATGAGGCAGTACGTGGCCGCCATCTCCGACGTCGACCCAGACTGGGAGCTAAAGGTGGGCACGGGTGAAGGACCCAGGACATCGTGGGTCCGAGTGAGCAGTCTGGCCGGGAACGAGAAAGAGGACGACATTCCGGAAAAGGACAAGAACTGCTTTGACTGGGTGAAGGAGAACAACGTCAGCAAAGTGAAGGACCTGGAGACCCGAGTCCTGCAGGAGAAGGACGAGAATGGCATGACGCTGCTGCACTGGGCGGCAGACAGGGGGTACTCCGAGATGGCCGAGTACCTCCTGGAGCGCAAGATCAACGTGAACGAGAGGGATGCGGACGGACAGACAGCACTCCACTATGCTGCCGCCTGTGGTCACGCAGACATGATCCGCGTCCTGCTCGACCACGGGGCGGACGTCTCCATTCAGGATTCCGATGGACTGCAGGCGGAAGAGTGCGCCGAAGACAATGCCGTTAAAGATTTACTGAAACTTCCGTGACCCGAGAATCTCGAAGCAGTGTTTGCGTTTCAGTGTGACATCCAGTGACAGTGTACTGCGCCGATTCCATTGTAAATAGAATGCTTCTTATTACATCTGAGTGAAAACAAGTGTTTGGTTTGTTATTAACCTCCTCCTAGAGTCCAAGAAGTATTAAAGAGATGGCTATTGATCATATACCTTGTAGGAAAGATGACAACAGAGGCTTTCTCTTTGTCATTGCAAAAGTATTATTGTTGTATTAAAGCCACATTGCATCACTAGATTTCTCTCTCATTCTCTGCCTTTCTCTCTTTCTTTCTCTGTCTCTCTCTCTATTTCTTTCTCTGTCTCTCTCTCCATTTCTTTCTCTGTCTCTCTCTCCCTTTCTTTCTCTGTCTCTCTCTCCCTTTCTTTCTCTGTCTCTCTCCCCCTTTCTTTCTCTGTCTCTCTCCCCCTTTCTTTCTCAGTCTCTCTCCCTTTCTTTCTCTGTATCTCTCCCTTTCTTTCTCTGTCTCTCTCTCCCTTTCTTTCTCTGTCTCTCTCTCTCTCTCTCTCCATTTCTTTCTCTGTCTCTCTCCCTTTCTTTCTCTGTCTCTCTCCCTTTCTTTCTCTGTCTCTGTCTCTCTCCCTTTCTTTCTCTGTCTCTGCCTTTCTCTCTTTCTTTCTCTGTCTCTGCCTTTCTCTCTTTCTTTCTCTGTCTCTGCCTTTCTCTCTTTCTTTCTCTGTCTCTGCCTTTCTTTCTTTCTCTGTCTCTGCCTTTCTCTCTTTCTTTCTCTGTCTCTGCCTTTCTCTCTTTCTTTCTCTGTCTCTGCCTTTCTCTCTCTCTGCCTTCTCTCTCTCTCTCTCTCTCTGTCTCTGCTCTCTCTCTCTCTCTCTCTCTCTCTCTCTCTCTCTCTCTCTCTCTCTCTCTCTCTCTCTCTCTCTCTTCTCTCTCTCTCTCTCTCCCTCTCTCTTCTCTTCTCTCTCTCCCTCTTTCTTCTCTCTCTCTCTCTCTCCCTCTTTTCTTTCTCTCTCTCTCTCTCCCACTTTTCTTTCTCTCTCTCTCTCTCTCCCACTTTTCTTTCTCTCTCTCTCTCTCTCCCACTTTTCTTTCTCTCTCTCTCTCTCTCTCCCACTTTTCTTTCTCTCTCTCTCTCTCTCCCTCTTTTCTTTCTCTCTCTCTCTCTCTCTCCCTCTTTTCTTTCTCTCTCTCTCTCTCTCTCCCTCTTTTCTTTCTCTCTCTCTCTCTCTCTCCCTCCCTCTTTTCTTTCTCTCTCTCTCTCTCTCCCTCTTTTCTTTCTCTCTCTCTCTCTCTCTCCCTCTTTTCTTTCTCTCTCTCTCTCTCTCTCTCTCCCTCTTTTCTTTCTCTCTCTCTCTCTCCCTCTTTTCTTTCTCTCTCTCTCTCTCTCCCTCTTTTCTTTCTCTCTCTCTCTCTCTCCTCTTCTCTCTCTCTCTCTCTCTCTCTCCTCTCTCTCTCTCTCTCTCTCTCTCTCCTCTCTCTCTCTCTCTCTCTCTCTCCCCTCTTTTCTTTCTCTCTCTCTCTCTCTCTTCTCTCTCTCTCTCTCCCCCTCTTTTCTTTCTCTCTCTTCTCTCTCTCTCTCTCCCTCCCTCTTTCTTTCTCTCTCTCTCTCTCTCTCCCTCTTTTCTTTCTCTCTCTCTCTCTCCCTCCTCTTTTCTTTCTCTCTCTCTCTCTCTCTCCCTCCTCTTTCTTTCTCTCTCTCTCTCTCTCTCCCTCTTTTCTTTCTCTCTCTCTCTCTCTCTCCCTCTTTTCTTTCTCTCTCTCTCTCTCTCTCTCCCTCTTTTCTTTCTCTCTCTCTCCCTCTTTCTTTCTCTCTCTCTCTCTCTCTCTCTCTCCTCTCTTCTTCTCTCTCTCTCTCTCTCTCTCTCTCTCTCTCTCTCTCTCTCTCTCTCTCTCTCTCTCTCTCTCTCTCTCTCTCTCTCTCTCTCTCTCTCTCTCTCTCTCCCTCCCTCCCTCTTTTCTTTCTCTCTCTCTCCCTCTCCCTCTTTTCTTTCTCTCTCTCTCTCTCTCCCTCTTTTCTTTCTCTCTCTCTCTCTCTCCCTCTTTTCTTTCTCTCTCTCTCTCTCTCTCCCTCTTTTCTTTCTCTCTCTCTCCCTCCCTCTTTTCTTTCTCTCTCTCTCTCTCTCCCTCCCTCTTTTCTTTCTCTCTCTCTCTCTCTTTCTCCCTCTTTTCTTTCTCTCTCTCTCTCTCTCTCCCTCTTTTCTTTCTCTCTCTCCCTCTCCCTCTTTTCTTTCTCTCTCTCTCCCTCTCCCTCTTTTCTTTCTCTCTCTCCCTCTCCCTCTTTTCTTTCTCTCTCTCCCTCTCCCTCTCTCTTTTCTTTCTCTCTCTCTCTCTCCCTCTTTTCTTTCTCTCTCTCTCTCTCTCTCTCCCTCTTTTCTTTCTATCTCTCCCTCTCCCTCTTTTCTTTCTCTCTCTCTCTCTCTCCCTCTTTTCTTTCTCTCTCTCTCTCTCCCTCTCTTCTTTCTTTCTCTCTCTCTCTCTCTCTCTCTCTCTCTCTCTCTCTCTCTCTCTCTCTCTCTCTCTCTCTCTCTCTCTCTCTCTCTCTCTCTCTCTCTCTCTCTCCCCCTCTCTCTCTCTCTCCCTCTCTCCCTCTCCCTCTCCCTCTCCCTCTCTCTCTCCCTCTCCCTCTCACTCTCCCTCTCCCTCTCCCTCTCCCTCTCCCTCTCCCTCTCCCTCTCCCTCTCCCTCTCTCTCTCCCTCTCCCTCTCTCTCTCCCTCTCTCTCTCCCTCTCCCTCTCCCTGTCTTTTCTGTCTCTTTATTTATTTTTTTGAGATTGTGTAAGATCAAGTAACCTATTACCACCATATACATGTCCTGTCCTTAGTGGTTTTGGTTTGTAAATTTTGTTTGCATATAGATGGCTCCTCAAGTGCTCAGCCACCAAGTACTCAGTAGGCCCTGTGTGCTATGACTTTACTTAATTCCCTGCATCATTTTAAAGAACACTGTAGCCCATAGACATATCAATTCTGGCAGTGAGCAAGTGTGAGATAAGGTTTATTTTTCCTGGTTAAACTTCACACTTTAGCATGTATTCAGTGATAGTAAATAAGAGTTAATAAAGATAAGTCTTGCCTTTATAAAACAAAACAAAAAACAAATGGAACTAATCCCACCCACACTTGCTTGCTTGGCCTCAGGGAGCCATGGGTGCAATATTAATTATCCTCCTCTTACCCATCATAAGGGACCCTGGGAAACATCTCTCTTCCCCATACTCCAGGCCTACAATGATCAATAACCATTTTGTACCATTATTAGGGGCATTGAGGCCTGCCCCTTTATCAAGTTATCCCCACTGACGTTAACTTTTCCAGTTCCATGACCCCTGGATGTTTGATCACGACTATGAACATGGTTACTACTTCCCCCTCCTCCATACCTACAGCAACTCAGTGCAATCCAAGTCACTTACCCAGGTCTTCAGAAAACATTCCTTCCTCTCTCCCAATATCATCCAATCCATCTCCTTATCCACCTACTACTACAAATCCTTATTGTCCACCTCCTGCAGTACTACCTCACTCAACACCACTCCTGCTTCATCATGTCCTCTACAAAGCTTTTAAGTACTCTTTTTGGCTCAACATGGTGGGGGTCAATTTTTTGGTGACTCCTCATACTGCCCCTTACTTTGACAAGAACTTCCTTTTCCAACACTGCCTTCACAAAAACAAGTAGGCAAAGTTTCCTTCTGCAACCCTTTCAGTCATTCATTCCTTGTCAGTTAGTCCTAGGCTCATGTGTTTCCTACTGACTGACCTCACTGACTAACCT